TATCGCCTGGCGTCATGTGGGCTGGACACCTTTGGGTGTTTGACACTTGAATAGAAATCCATCATTCATATACTAGCACAGATGTGTGTGTGTGTGTGTGTGTGTGTGTGTGTGTGTATGTGTGTGTGTGTTAGTTACCTGCAGGCTGAGGAAGTGTGCACGTGTCCTGCAGTGTGCGTGTCGTGCTGTCGTCTCTCTGGAGAAAAACTTGTTACAGAGTCGACACAAGAAGCCAGACACAGGGACCACAAAACTACTTCCTGTGGGGAAAGAATGGGCCAGTATCTCTCATCATTGCAGTATTAATAACTACCATCTACTACTAGTACTCATCAAAACTGTCTGATACTACGCACTGGTATCACTGTACAGCAGGTTCACACTGGCCGAGCAGGTGGTTCAGGAGAGGAGGAAACGTTTTACGACAAATGATGACAACTCAAGTAAAGGTGACTGCGAGCGATTTCCTGCTCTGTGTCGGAGATGTCAACAAGTAAAACGCACAGGGTTCGAACAGCTGACCAAGGAGAACACAAAGAACCGCCCACGGTCGACACACCCACTGAGCCCACACAGTGCATGAGAAAAAACCAATGCTCATCCAGTGTGGTTGACAGCTGCATGCCGTGTGGTACTGTCACTTTTAGCTGTAGCGGTGACGTCAGCGACTCCTCACATATTCATAAAGTTAAAAGATCTCATGAAAATATAAAAAGGCACTGCGTGTTTATGGGAAGTGTAATGTTTACAGTAGAAACTACGCATTATTATAGTTAGCATAAGTATCGGTATCAGTACTGACAAGTACTCAAATGTAAGTACTTGCACTCAGTCTGAACAGAAGCAGTATCAGTGCATCCCTAATCAAACCTATTAGTGAGCAGAACCTCCCCACCGGACCTCCAGTGCCTAAACCATTGGTATGGAGCTACACAGGCAGGTCAGGCGGCAGACGTCCAGATGGGGGCGACAGAGCCCCATCGATCGGGTCCTCTCGGCTGTTTTACCTTGGATTGAGTGACTAAGTATTTACATTACTGCGCTTGTGGTAGTGTGTTGACCTGCTCAGTCTGGTCCAGTGCATCTCTGCTGCCTGCATGAGATTCCTGTCTGTGAACACGGGTCCTGACAAATCAAAGGCAGCACCCACAGAGCTACAGTGGAGGACGTACCGTAGGTGGTGTGGGGGTCGTACTCGTCGCTGTCTGTCCCCTCTGGGTCAGCTGTCTGCAACACACACATTTCAGGGTCCTGTTTCAGCAGCTGTGGTGAGCAACATGAGATCACACTCCCTTCAGTGAACTCAGTCCTCTAAAGACTAAAGAGTCAAACTGGGGAGACTCGACGTCGACTCGCTCATTTGTTTCTGCACAAAAACCATGTGTGTGATTTTCCTAACACAGACCAGTGATGGAAGAAATACTCTCAACCTTTACTCAGGTCAAAGGACCAATACCAACCTGTAAATGTACTTCACTACAAGTAAAAGTATGCAAGTATCATCAGTAAAATGTACTCAAAGTACCACAAGTAAACTACTTGGCCTCTGGTAACGTCTCACAGCCTGTAGCACCGATGACTGGGAACAACAAGAAGCTGATCCAGGTGCAGCTGGTTCGGACTCAGTTTGGTCTTTTAGCGGCTCACACCAGAAACCTGAGGGAAAAAATCTAAGTTGTCCGTCACAAACGATCAGTTCGTAAAGAAAGACCCACCTCAGACCGATACCGGAGAACCGTCTGATAAAACTGAGCTTGACTCAGACATGTGAAACAGACGTAGCCTCCACGCCGCTGAAGCAGATCTGTGTCTCAGCTGTTTCTTGTTTTTAATGTACAATCTAAACTGGAAGAGTCACTAGAGTGTCTCAGCTGTACTTAAACCCCCCACAGTTTGTACCTCCAACACTTCCTCCTCTTTTCCTACATCATCTTCTTCCTCAGCGACATCTACTCCCTCCTCCTGCTCCTCCTCCTCCCCCTCGAAGCAGCCCACAGCGTCCACAGTGATCAGCTCCTCCTCCTGAGCCTCCTGCAGGTGCACCTGGGATGAGACAGACAGTAAATCCAACTCACCCTCGGCCTCAGGAGTTTGTCTGTTTGTCGACAGAAAAGCCTCTTTTACAGAACTTCATGTTTTAAATAGGGGAAAAATAAACCCAATATATGAGCTGAGAGAAAACATTTGGTCTATAGTGCCCCCCCACCTGCTGTTTGTGTTCTGGAGACTTCATGTGCTCCACAAACTTCCTGGGAGTCCTGAACTTACGCTTGCACACGGGACAGAAGGGACGGCACAGCTGCTTACACATCTGGATCAGAGAGAGAAGAACACTGAGGACGAGTCCCTGAGCTATGTAGCCATGTCGCTGGTGCAGCGCTGGTCCTCACCTTGTGCTGGCTGCTTCGTCGATGGGCGATCACGTCACCGCTGAAGTGAGCCTGACAGGTGTCACACCAGCGCTGAGCGGCAGGCCGACACCTCCTGGAGGACAACACTCAGGATGTTAGCACGTCCCATCCCTCAGCCCCCTTTGCTGCCTCAACTTTTCCTCTGGTTTGGTCTCTTTGTTGCATCTCACAGCTGAAGTTTCCCTCCCAGTCCAAAGACCTGATGTTTCCTCAGAAGTGGGAGCAAACCGAACCAGATCAGATGTGGGCCTCCTGCACCTGTGGTTGTTCTCAGTGCTACTTCCTTTGTGAAACCGTCCTCCTCCATACTGGGACCAGCTGACCTCAGACTAATCTCTGGTTGCTACTGTGGTGTCTCATCCTCAACGAGGACCACTGCCACTCTTGGGTCATCACCCATTGTTATTAGCAGATGATGTCGGCGTCATGCCCTGACTGCCCTTGCTGCTATGTAACAGGCAGCACGCCACCGAGGCCAAATGGAGTGCGGCTAACGTCTGTGCTGAACTGGTAGTGTGTGTATATATGTGTGTGTGTGTGCTCCTACCTGTCCTGCAGTGTGTGAGCATTAATGCAGATGGAGTGTGTGAGCTCCTGCAGTTTGTTCAGGTGTTCTGCTTCTGACATGTGCTCCTGAAACACCTGCAACACACACAGAGGAGACGTGGCAGAAGTACACGTGGGGTCTGCAGTGACGCCACATGCACTCATCTCAGGCATAAACAGGTGAATGTCTGGTCCGGCTGTGAGCTGCGTCTCTACAGCAGGGTCCAGGGTCTGTGCTGCTTCTGAGTGCTTGGATGAAATAAAGGACAAAACCAAGCAGCAGGTAACATTTCACCTGTTAATCCACTGTTATAACATTTTGTTGTTTACTGTTAATAACAGGTGACTTCAAATTAAAATGTAAAGCTGAAATATATCACTACAACCATCATTAAGAACAGACAGTTGTTCCAGGTTTATGTGGAGTTGATATCATAAAGTAGTTTTTGTCAGAAAGTCTGTTTTTATGACTGATACTCTGTAGGTTGCGCCGCAGTGTTTCCACCTGTGCTATGTTCTCTACACGTTCACCCGGCAGCGGCCATGTCGACTTGCTGCTGAGGGGGCAGCGTTACTCTACAACAAACAGTGTTACAGCAGAAAGTGTCACGGGTAGAAACCTGTACCCTGGACTCAGGTGTGTGTCAGTGCATCTCACCTGCAGAGAGCGGCAGGTGAGGTTACAGACGTGGCAGTGGAGTCCCCCAGTCTGTCTGTCTGCTGTCTGTCCAAACTCCCTGCTCTCACTGCTCTGTTGGATGGTGACCTTTAGTGACCCCACACTCTGCAGCTGTACACACAAACGGTATGCTGTCAGCCTGGGTCAGTGTCAAGGTGCGTTCACTGGCTGGTCTCTCTCTGTTCAGCCCTTCTTGCTTAGTGTGTGTGGGCGAGGAGACACAGCTGCTGCCTGGTGACTGGCCTGTTTGAAGGGACTGCTGTCTCTGGCTTGGACCAGCCTGTCAAAGTACTGAAGTGCATGTGAACTCTGAGAGGATCACCTCAGCCGCTCTGCTGTCCTCACTGTACTCTGCTGCCCCCTGCTGGTCTGGAGAAAGCCCTCTGGGTAAAACACCACCTGAAGAAAAACACATACTTAAACCAGACAATCAGCACACAATGTCAGCCCCTCCCCCCAGGAGCAGGACGCACTGTGTCACCTGCCGGCGTGCCGAGGTGAAACTGCTCTGCAGGATCAGGCAAACACACTGGGGGCACAATTTCTGATCCACCAGATCGCCTTTCACCTCGTCTGACTCCTGCAGTTCACTGAGCCAGAAAACAAGCTCAGTACAAAACACAGTTGCTCAGTTTCTAACACACACAAGGAGACCAGGGTGTACCAGCCCAGCGCTGACCTCGTCACTGGTCACCAGTCACGCTGCTGAGCCAGTGCACAGCCCCAGACCCTCAGACAGGACCCGTCTGGCTGTTCCTAAGTCCCGGCTCAGGGCTATAGGTGTCCAGGGTTTTACTGCCAGGGCCCCTCAGCTCTGAACTCCAGCCTGAGGGGCAGTGGCTGTAGAGTCAGAGTCAGAGTCAGAGACACCTTGCAAATCACTTCCAACTTATCTTTTTCAAAAGGTCTTTCTTTAATAAGAAAGGTTTCTATTACAGGGCAGCATGGTGGTGCAGTGGTTAGATGTGTCACCTCACCACCAGGGTCCCTCTGTGGGGGGGGGGTGAATCTGCCTGGGTTTCCTCTGGCTTCCTCCCACAGATGTGCAGATTAGGTTGAATAAAAACAGGACTACACCTCCCACACTCACCTCCTGCAGAGCAGCTCTCACTTCCTGGTTGATCACATGACCCCAGGACTTGCTCTCTACTTGTCAGAGGTGCAGCCTCCTCAGATCTGAAGGACACACAGTTGATTTCATTTGTTGGTTTTTCTTCATTAAATAACAGAACTGCTTGTTGTGGCTGTAATAAACAGTGCAGCCTCTGGGGGCGCTAGCAGCACTGTGGTGTCACTGGACGTAATGTAATGCACAGTGGCTGCCAAAAAATAAGATATAATAAAACAAAGGCTCGACTAGAAGGGTCTCAGTCGACTGACGGGTCTCTTGACTAATGACTCCAATAGTCGACTAGGGGGGCACCCTAGTTGCCAAGTGTTCACTCAAAACGGACCTGCTGGGTTTCTTTCTAGAACACTGTAAGGTGTTACTCACTACGTAAAGTGCCTTGAGATAATTCACCCATTCACATACACCCTGGTGGGACAGCAGTGACTTGTTCAAGGACACTTTGACATGTGGACTGGTGAAGCCGGGAATTGAACCCTCCGGTTAGGAGACAACCTGCTCTACCTCCTGAGCCTCAGCAATGAGACCCACCCATCCAGCCTCGCCCTCTTTGGCCCCATCTCTCCTGAACCTCTGTCAGCTTTTAGGTCTCCTCTCTCCTCTGCTGCGGTGGTTGTGGCGCTGCTGCTGCACAGCTGGCTGTCAGCATTTTCTGTGCCTGTGCCCACCCACTTCCTGCGTGACACCTGAGAAAGAAAAACAAAGTGTGAAATGGAGCAAGACCAGGAGGAGGTGGGGTTTGATTGCTATCTACCTGCTGAGGTGGAGGTGGCGCGCTGTGTATGGGGCCAACAGGGAATTGAACCCGTGCCACGTTGTTACCTGCTGCAGGCAGAAAACACCTGAGGAGACAGTATGGGAGACAGCTCAGTTAAAACCTTAACGCTGTTTAAAACCCACTTTAAAACTTGCAAAAGCTTTAGTTTACTGATGAACGCAAACAAATGGTGATGTCACTGCGTCTTCTCCATCCAGACCAGGGACACTGCACAAAACCAAGACAAGGGATTAAACCAGGATTTTCCAGTTATCCAGGCTGAATTTAGCCTGACTCAGTTGCATGAAACTGAAATCTCTGAGTGTGTTCACAGTGAAATGAGGGAAACTCTGAGCCTTCAGTTTCATAGACAGAGACAGAGATCAGTGTAACTGGTCCATGAATCTAAGGTGCTCGCTGGCAGGTTTCCTTCTAGAAACCCTGAGTTTCTCTCGGCCTTCTCCCTCCTGCAGAGTTTGCAGACGCCATCTGACAAGACACTTCATTTCCTCATTCATACACTTCATATCAAAGTGCAGTTTGGAATTTTCAGATGTTTACGTCAGGAGGAGAGGATCAAAATCCTGATAGCTTGTTACCCAAGATGCGTCTTTACTAATGTGATTGCTTGTATGATCAATCAGTCGTCAGCGAGGGGGTTCACCCTCAGCTCAGAATAACATCTGCAGCTGTCCATCTTCCTCCCACTGTCGCTCAGTTCCCCTGCACTGACACATCTACCGTGTGTGAAACTGTACACACATCTGATTTAAGACTGATTTGATTTCTTGTGTTGTTATTGGTGAACATTCCTATTATTTGTTGATCATTTTGGAGATCGTGTAAATACATCTGAGAATGATTGTAGTGCAGCTTACAAGACTCAAAGTTCTACAAACTGATGCAGATGCAGTTTAAAGGTCAATTTTTTTAATACAGGCTCCATATGTTCAGAAACCGTTTCAGTTACTCTGACTGACTTTATGTTGATATAGTTATCAGCTGCTGTGTATCAGGAGTTTTAAATGTGTAACAAATGTCTGAAAATGTACAGGTGTTTTAACCTCAACTCCAAATCATCACAGTCATTATTGCTGGGTCACACTATGAGTTTGGACCCTACAGAGAAAGGTCTACACAAAGTTATGTCTTCTCTGTTTGATTTCATCTCCTGCTGCCACCAGCATTTTTTATCCCCATCAGCCTACAGTGAAATAAATTCAGCCTATTTAAATTAATTAAAAGTAGCGATCCAGCCTTCACCGTCCATTAAAGAAACCACACCTGCTAAACAGATGAATGAGCATGCTACGCTGACTGAAACATACCGATATTAACTTACTGATCTTTAATGGGCTTTGCGCTCCACTGCATCAGAATGGCAGCCATGCTCTTTACCTACCTGTTGCCATGGTGAATCGCACTATTGGAGCTCCACTGACCAGGGCCTTTTACAGTCATCATGTACCAGCTTAACCCTGACTGAATCACCTGAGAGTTAACTACCTCTGATCAGCTGTTCTGGAACAGAAACCCCAGAGTTTCCTTTCTCAGGGTCGGTCGACTCACACGTCAGGATTAAGTTCAGAGTTTGCTGAACCAGCTTTCTGGAACACCCTCGAGGCCAGATGTGGTCTGGATGGTGAAAATGTAGTGATCTCGTAACTCTTCCTTTCTTATTTAAAATAATTATAAAAATGATAACTCTTCCGAATTAAACTTTAAGATAAACTAACATTTGGCTGAGCAACACTACATCCTGTCTCATTTCCACTGGGTTTATCACACAGTGGGGAAAATCTTAGTTGATGCAGCTTTAAGGCCTCAGGGGGCATCAAACAGCATCTACAGTGGTGACACATGAAACCGCCCTCCCTGACCTTTGACCTTGTTTCTGTCTCAGTGTCGCCAATGAAATGAGACACAGCAGAGCTGCATAAAGTCCCTCGTTCTTCTCTGTGACACTGAATCAGTGTGTGAGGGGAACCTGTAGCTCCTCCAGTGGATTAGCAGCCGGAACCAGTAACCGGCCATGAAAACCAGTTGTCACCTGTCTGTCTTCCTCTGCTGTTTGACCATGATGGAGACTGGAGCAGCAGCCGCACTGACCTGCAGTGATGGGTGTGAAAAATATTCACGCATGTACTCATGTGAAAGTAACACCGGGAATAACAAAGTAAAACCCCCTTTCAAAGTATTACTACAGTAAAACTGATGTATTACTGCTGTAGTTTAAACTACGGCTTCCTTGACGTCCTGTCCCATATGTTCACCGTCATCTTAACTCCGATTTAACATTTAAATTTAACTGCAGAGACATAACCTGTACCTTAAAAACTGCCTTTTACATTAATAACCGACTAACTGTGCTTCATTTATATAGAACTCTATTAAAATATTATGATTTTTTTACAAGCAGTCCTCTACCCAGAACAGGACGTCTTCATTTCTACAGGAAATTAAAACAAACCAGACAGAAAACGCATTCAAGACATTCTTGCTGTGTAACATCTAAGGCGAATATAATTGTGGCTTCTCCCGATTCCTAAAATGTCTTAGTTGCATGTTCCCATGAGGCGGTATTCGTCTAGTAAGAAAACAAACATTTAATTTGCGGATTTCTAATCGAGATCTCGCACGTTTGCTCATAGTTAGGCTAACGTTAGCAGCATAACCTGGCAATCCGAACAAAAAGTCTGCCTTTAGTGCTTAATCTCTGTTTTCTCTTTAGCAGATATTAAATGCAGAGCTACCATCAGAGTAAACACAATTTAATTACGATTTGATTTGGCTCACCTCATCGCTCACTACAAACTAGCTCGGACACATGTAAACACAGACCGAACTCGGTTTGTCTCCTGTACCGCCACCTGCCGGCCGGGGGTATAGCTGCGGCTGTCAGCGGCACTGCAGCTCTGCATTTGAACAGATTTTAGGTATGAAAAGATCATCAATACTTAAAACAAGACTTGGCATCAGTAGTACTGATACTGTCGATTCACCTGAGTTTTCTTCTGTTCAGCTGCTTCATGTTTTGCTTTCTCCTGACTGAATTTGACATGCTGTTTGCTTTATTGTCCTTTTGTCTAACATGCATAGTGCTGATTAATGTGCCCCTGATGAAAGTCAAATAACAAAGCTGCAGCTTAGCTCCACCTCGATCCCCTGTAAACATTATATCTCTATGTAAAAATATTCATCCCTGTGACATAAATAAATCTGTTGTACTGGCTGATTTTCCAGGCTCCAGGGGGGTGCTGTGTTCAGCTGATGACATCTGGACGTTATTTGCAGGCATTTCCTGATTCACTCAGCACAGAAGGGGGAGCTGCTGGAGGCCAGGGGTCAAACTTAGAAACACCTCTAGATACGTGATTAGAGAAAACATCTGTGTGATTGTGACTGATGGTAGAGCTGCAAATCTTCTCATGATGGATTCGTCTGCTAGTTATTTTCTCAGTCCATAACTTCTTTCTTTGGTCTATAAAATTGCCAGAAGCTAGCGGAAAGTGTATTTTATAATTTCTCAGGGTGATTCATGTTCACACAGTCCCTTCAACCAAATGTCAAAAAACCCAAAGATATGTCGATTACTGTTCAATATTACAGAACAGTCGGAGAAGCAGCAGAGCCACAGAGCTGGTCTGGTTTCTGATGACATGAGTAGCAAAACGTTTGTGCAAATATATCTGTCGCTCAACATATGATTATGCAAAGTACTGAAATGTCCTCTTAATACGGGGGGCCTCTGTGGCACGCACTCTCTCAGTCTAACAGTCACAGATGTAGTGAAACACTGTTTTTGTTCGACAGCCTGGGCTGTGTCTGTTACTGATCAGAGCCCATCTGATTGGAGCCAAGTCTGTTTTTCATTCTGGATGGAAAAAGTTTCCTGCAAAGAAAACATTTGCCTGTTTTTTTCAGAAAATACAACAAATACACACCATGTGGCCCAAAGTGTGTCGACAGTGAGAGCCTCCACTCTCAGTCACTGTTTCAGGGGCCGGAGGTCAGGACTCTGTGCAAACCAGTTCACTTCTTCAACAGCAAGCTGGAAGAAACCAGTTCTCTCTCTGTGTTTTTTATAACCCCAGTTCTACTGTAAATCTTATTTCCACTTTCTCTAATCCTGTTTTACTTGGTCTTTTTATCTTCTGTTAACCCACTTTACTGTCATAACATTTTTCTTTCTGTAACCTCGACTACTTATCGTAGTTTATCAGCACGGTCGGCAGTTTGAGCTGCAGCAGTTACTTTAAGACACTTACTACTGCAGTTTGCATTAAAAATTGCCTCAGAGTCGTGAGCGACGAACTCAGACATGAAACACATTGACCTGACTGTGTGATGTCCTCTTCCTGAGGATCTCGTTATCTCTGATGTCCCCAAATACCTGGGTGTCCACATCAGTGAGGACCTCACTTGGACACTTAACACCACACAGCTGGTCAAGAAGGCCCAACGACGGCTGTACTTCCTGAGGAGGCTGAGGAGGTTTGGCATGTCGCCTTTGCAACTTCTACAGCTGCATCATTGAGAGCATCTTGACCACATCCCTGTCTGGTATGGCAGCACTACTGCTATGGACCGCAAGCACCTGCAGAGAGTGGTAAAGACTG